TATTCTGTGTTGTGATTTTTTTTCCTCATTCTAAATATTCACTTTCATGCCCAATTTTTATTCCTAGTTTTACTTTTTTTTTTTTTTAATGAGGCCCCCAAATTGAATAAACGAGAGGTCCCAGGACATCTGGACATACTCCTCTTGATCAGCACATGAGGTCCTCTAATGTCAGTGTACCCAGTGCTAAGAATCAGTATGCTATCAGTTAATTATCTAGAGTACTGGTTTTGCCACTTTATATAAAGTATCTGTTGGTCATTCCTTCTTCTCCTAGTTTCAGAAAATAAAACAGAATTCTAGTTTCTGTTTTTCCTTTTTTCTCTAATCTCCATGGTATTTCAAGTTCCTCACCAATTAATTGCCCTTCCTAAATTTGAGACATATAACATCTGAGATTTCCATAAGGCATGCCAGCAGTCAGGTACAATGGGGTCTGGACAGGACATGTGCACTGGAGGTTATCAGGGCAGAAATGCCAGTTTCCCTGCTGTGCCAGATGGGTAAGACCTCTTATACTGGAGGAGCTGGCCTGGCCTTAGACATGAGTGAGGACAGCCATCTCTAGAACTGGGCTGCCAGTGGATTTACAAAGCTGACAGCCTTTGTAAGTAGGAAAGAGGACTATCAATTAAGATTAAGGAGGAGAAATATTTATTAACTTTGGAGGAAAGAGAGGAGATTTAACCTAGGTTTTGGTAGATTAGACAAGAGGACAGAATTCTGTGAGACAGAATTAAAGGCTTTCTTGAGGTGCAAGCTCAGAATTCAACACATGGTGAGTTTTTTTCCAGCTGCATTCAGCTACACTGTGGTCTTAGAGTGAGAACTCAGGCAATCATTTTGCCCAAGAGTCAGATAAACCCGAGCGGTTAAGAGAGGACAGGCCTTACAGGCCTGTGGCTGTCATGAGGGTAATTACCACTGCAGGCCTCCATGCAGTCTTCTCCTCTGCCCCTCTTCTGACCCTGCACCTCTCCAGCCCACTGCCCATGTCTTGTTGGAATGGGTCATCTCTATCCCAGGTTCTTGGTGGCAGCTCGGGAGCATCCCTCCACCCCATCCCTCCCATCCTGTCTCATGGTACAGTTAGAAGACTATTTTAAAGATGGCAAACTCAGTGACTTCTCAGGCTTGAAATTCTTAGGGGGCTCCTTTGTTCTTCAGATAAGTTTTATATTCCTTTTTATTGTCTTTTAACAGCTTCCCCTCCCCCCACGCAAGCAGCAGCATTAGCTTCCATACCCAAATTACAGACATATGGAATGTTTTTTAGTTGTTTAAATGACACATATTTCTTTGTACACCTGGAAAAGTTTACCCATTACTTCCTATATGCACAATGCCCACTTCTTCTCCCACTCACCAAACTCTAACTCTAAATAAAAGACATCATCTGAACCCTTTAATAATCATTTATCTTTCAAGTTTATTTAAGGCCTCCTCCAAAATGGCCCTTCAAATTCCTTGGTCATCTAGGCTTTTTGGGAGCTCAGCTCTCCTCTCCAGATGCATGGGATCCCTAATACCTAGTTAGGTGGTTGGCACATAGAAAGTACTTCATGAACATTTGTAGTATGAATTAATTCATAAAAATACATTCACATATCGATTAATGAATTGCCAACCTTTAGAGCATCCCATGCTTTGTTAGCTCCACTGAACAGAAGAAATTGAAGGTCAAAGTGCTGACTAAATTTACAAAGGGTAATGTATTTAGTAACAGAGTTGTCATTTTTTGTCAAGAGTCTTGTTCTGAAAATTTTGTTTTCTCATCACCTGGCTGGCTTTCTCATTTTCATTTCTGTCTAACTTATCAATGCTCTTCCTGAAAGAGAAAGAGGTAATATAGTATATTTAAGAGCACAGATTTCTAAGACAGACTGCAAGATTCAGATCCTTACTTCTGGCATTTACTAGCTATTGTGACCTTGAACTATTTACTTAAACTCTCTTTGCCTTCATTTCCATTTATGTGAAATGGGAAAAATAATTGCTTCATAGTGGTGTTGCAAAGATTAAGTAAATTATTATGTCAAGAAACTGAGAACAATACCTGGCACTTATGTGTTAGCTTTATATAATGGGTAACTATTATTACTTCATTTTTCTAAGTACTGGTATAGCTTCCTATTAGAAGAGAGGGAGAGGGTTTTCTCTATTAATGGTACCAGGCCAGATGTTCTGTTGTCCAGATTATTAAACTTGCCTTTAAATTTGCCTTATCCGAGAGATACCTTTCTGGAGACTGAAGTCTACAATCCATACATCTGCACAGGACTGTTCCCTCATGGCAGTAGATGGCTGGGTTACAGAAGACCCCCTTCAGAATTGCTTCCCAGACCCAACTCTCTGAGTCTGGATGCGCTAAACCAATCATCCTCCAGGCACTGATCCGAATGCAGGAAAACCATCCATTTAACATTGAGTCTTATGTTCACTCTATTCTTGTGCTATATCACATTTCCATTTGGGAAAAAGAATCCTCAGCAGACAATTTTGTGTGCCAAATGTAAATTCATGAAGCACAGAAAATTAGTGTTGTATTGATTAATGGTAGGAGAGCTTTCTTATTTACATATCACAAGTAAGAGTAAAGTTATATTCTATTGAGCGTCTAAAAATATTTATCTCCAGACCTCACTAACTTACGTAAAAAATTTTCCCAAAGCAACTAATGAGCTAATAGGAAATTATATAGGAAAAGATAAATGAGAAGTGCTATTTGATTTTAATTTGGGCAGAGAACAAATGCACGGGCACTTGCAGATATTTGTAATGGTGGTATAAATTGGTATGACTTTTCTAAGAAGGAATTTAGATACCTAAACCTAACATCGTGAATATGTTGAAATATTTTCCACCCAGGATTTCCAAAACTCAGAATTTAGATTAAAAGAAATAACTAGAAAGTTACATAAAGTCTGTGGGGAAACATCAATTCTTTGCTATCGACTTTTTGCATATGTGCCTTCATGTTAACTTAATGTTATGTCTGCCACCCTACTAATGTGTAAGTTCAGTGAAAGAAGGGACTTTTTCTGCTTTTTGTTCCCCCAGCCATATAATAAGCACTTAGAAGATTACCTGGTGTATGTCAAATATTCAACCACTATCTATTATATAAATTAGTCACTGTTGTGATGTCTGATAGAACAAATGAGAAAGCACCTAAACGGGTAAATAAATATGGCCAAATGATGGTATACATTACATCTACCAAAATGTCAAGGTTTTGTGGTTTTGTTTTTGTTTTTTTTAAGTATATTGACATAAAAAAAAACTCTACATTTTTACATAAGAAAAGATTACAAACCATATAATCTTAACATTGTAAAAAAAAAAAATTAAGAGAAATGAAGTAGTGAGTGGTTACATGGAGCCACACATAATTCTTATTCTCTCCTTTAAAACTGTCCTTATTTCAAGTAATACCATAAACTGAATTATTTTTAAATGCTCAATCCGCCTTTTTTTTTTTTTTTAATTTAAGAGAGGCTTATAAAGACCATATAGCTACTTGGAAAATGATTAGGAAATAATTTAAATCTAAATAAGAATATAGAAATGCATCCTGGATTACTACTATGAAAAAGTTACATTAGTGTAGGGCTAAGGAATTGACAAAACTGACTTGTTAGAGTAGTGAGTTTTGGTTTACTTTTTCCTTTATCTTTTCTTTCTCCCCTTCTTTCCCTCTCTCCTCCCTGTCCCCCTCCCTTCCTTCCTTTCTCTCCCACTTTCTTCCTTCTTCCCCCTCTCTCTTTAATTCTTTCTTCTGAATTCCACCAGTTTTTGGCTAAAAATTTTAATTAGAATCTCATTCAATTAGATTAAATTATAATTCCATTAGCTGTTTTGGTATTTATTTAAAAAAACGAGTTGAGCATGTTCTCCTTTTCTTCAGACACTTCTACACCTTTTAGGAGTTGCCAGGGCCTTCTTTACTAAAAATCAACTCAAGTATGTCAGAGTTGTTCTTCCTCCATCTACCCCAAAGTAGAACCAGAACCATACACAGTAATCAGCAAACAATGACCTTTATTTTTATTTAGCTCTTGTGCTACTATGAATGTTAGCTTTAATCTAGGATTATTTTGTAGGGAAGAAAAATTATAAACATTTCTGAGGTAATAATATTTTTTTGTTTCTCAGCCTTCAGATACTTTTGATACATTTCATTTATGTTGTAAATATTCCAGCATTTTCTACTGAATCTTTAACTAGAAGAAAATAATCAACATAAAATGCAGGGAACTTAGTTCTTCTTGGCTACACAAACAAGGTCAACCTTAACAAGAATTTAATTATCATCTTCCAAGCTTATAGACCTCAGAGTAAAAACTGAATGCAGATTATTATTTAGGTTTTATAAATTATTCCCAGTTTGCTTCTTAAAAATGGCTACAGAAACCATTTAGAATTTTACAGAATTCTTGATGACTTCCCATCCCAATTATCTTGTGTATTGCCAGAACTTTAATTACTTTAACTGATTTATGACAATTATATATTCTTTGGTGTACTCAGAAGTACCTAACTCTGACATTAAAAAAAAAAAAAACGTAACCTAACTCTGAGGTTTTAAAAAAAAATGATCTTTCTTTGCACATGCCTTTATATTTTCTGCATTTTCTAATTCATCTTTTCTAAGACTTTTTTTCTGTTTTATTTAAAAAAAGAAAAACAAACAAAACAAAACAAATATGGTAAAAATTGAAGTTTAAATTAATACTATTTTCAGTTGAATTTCTCCCTCAATGAACTAAGCTTTCTGTTCCTCTCCCCAGATGGAGAGACTACAGAATCTTCTTAGTAATTACTTAAACTGATATGAGGGTGCTTATATAATTCTTTGCATTCTATTCATTATATATTTTTTTCTTTTATCTTTATCTTTTATATCCTTGCATCATTTGTTTTCATGAACTACTTATGAGCACAGAACCATTGGTAAGGAAAAGCCATGAAAATTTTCACTACCTATTTATTGTTCATACCTTGAGAATCTTGCACATAATCTCATAAACTGAAAATGTTTTCTCTGCTCGGGTCCAGTCCCATGTTGTCACCTTTAAAAGATGAGAAACTTTTATGTCATTTGTTTTAGAAAGGTAACCCTGATTTCCCTCTTTATTTTATTTATATATTATGGTACACAAGGAAACTTTCCTATATGTACTATATATCTCAGTTGTGGAGCTATTTTTATAGAGGTCCATGTGTGGTATTTTGGTTTCCTCTCTTCTAAGTTTATCACCATTTCTCTTCCTTTGTCAGCAAGTGTTTTATGTTCTATGTAACAATCTTCATTTGCCCAATGTACTTACATATTTTAAATAATGTGTATATTATCTACATATAAATACTAAGTTTTTATATTCCACACACATAGTAATTTTGCCACCAGTTACATACAAAGTAGAATACTAGATGTCAATGCTGGCTTTACTTTTTTAAAAAGACATCTTTATATCAGGAAGTCATTTCAGGTTGTGAAGGCCTTATAACATTTTGAAGACACCAAACACCACAGTGAAGTCGTTTCACTTTTTTATGTTTAAAACATGTATTTGTCTAGTCATAAGAAATTTTTCAGAGTAGGAATATAGTAAAATATATAAATATTAATGGCTTTTTTCCAGCCTTCTGGGTCCTTTGAACTTAGTGTAGACATAGTCCTTCAAAATAGCAACAGGTCAGACTTGATGTTTCCAAGACCCTATGTAGTATCAGACTGGTAAGTGAGTGGTCTGGCATTTGATATTTATATTCAATAAATATTTATGGAGAATCTACTACTGTGTGAGGTAAATGTTTCCAGAAGAAAGACCTTAGGTCCAATAGGTACCCATACATATTTAGTACAAAGACCGATGACTAGAAAATAGGATATCAAAATGCTATATTTTTTAATTTAGATAGACCTGTATCACATAGACAAACATGTTTTGAAGGTCATAAATTCCTGGACAGTAATGCCTTTCAGGGTTATAAAATAAATATTTAATGCTAGAACATATATTTTTAGGAAGATATTTTCAGAACATTTGGACTGTTTTCCATTTTTTTCTGTATTTTATTTTTAAAATATGTTGGTAATATGGTATTTACTATTATTAACTTGATGTCATTCTGTAATGATAATATGGATAAAAAAACACTGGATGAAGACACTTACTGGAGGTGCCAGAAACTTGTAAAGACATGATCCCCTCAGGGCTAGAAATGTCGGTGAGTACACACAGTCTTGTAAAGGGTCTTGCTCCCGTGCTTCACACCAGCCCATGTAGACTATCTACAAGAAAATTGAACATGATTAACAGTAAATAAAAGAAATGTCTCATTACAGATATGTACTTTTCATACCTTGAATATTTTAATTCTCTCATAAAATTATCAAAGTAATACATGAAAAAAATGCATTAGACAGATACACTTTCCAATAAGTGAATGTAAACCACTCCTAAGAGTTTGTTTCCATCAGCACTTATCAAGTGTTTGCTTGTTTTGTGATCCAACTTGGCATAAATTATATTTCCCACTCTCCACCATTCCTACTATAAAAATGTTTCTTTGTAACAAAATTTATTGACTTATCCTATCAGTTTCCCAATTAGTGGCATTTTACTATGAGGATGTGCTCCCAGGATAAAATATTTAAGTGGGTAAAGGAGATGAGTCAAAGACAAGTACCTTGTGTCACTACCACTGTTGTGGCATACTACACCTTCCCTCTAACTGACAGGATGAGATGATAACTTTCTTGTTTTAATCATAAATCTAATATGAATATAGTTTATTCAAACATTATTCATATATTAAATGGCAATGACAACAGCACTTTTGTCTCTAGACCTTAAATATTGATGGGTCAATTTCCAAAATGAAATCATCTGAGATAAGACACTCCTCTTTCAATCATTTGATTGTTGTGAAGCTCAAATATATACATAAGCATTTATTCAATGAGTTTTATATTCCTGACAATATATTCATATGTCATTTATCTCTTACTATAACTCTATGTAATAGAAGTATCTGGGAGGATATATTTCCTACCTCATGTAACCTACTTTGATTTTGTGGTTGCTCTTAGACTTTTGTTCTTAGACTTTTGTTCTTATTGTTGTTTTGAAATCTGTTATGACTAATGGGGTATTAATGCACATGACGCAAGTAGAGCTGGGCTTAGTATCTTGTGCTTCTGCCATTACTATGAGAAAAGCATACCCAAGGTATGTGGTATCAACCAGAGCCAGAACTACCTCCTGGACAAAGTTTAGTCAAGTCTAGGCTACTGGCTAATTCAAAACAACCAGTTCACTTGCAGAGAGAAATAAAACACAGATAAATAGACTTCCCATGTTCCTGGGTTAGAAGAATTATTTAAAAAAAAATAATCATAATATCCAAATTGACCTAGGGATGCAATACCATTCCTATCAAAATCTCAATGGCATGCCTTATAGAAATAGAAAAATTATCTTAAAATTCATATGGTACCACAAAAGACCCTGAGTAGCCAAAGCAATATTGAGCAAGAAGAACAAAGCTAGAAGCATTGCACTTTTTTTTTTAATTTTTTTTTTAATTTTATTTTTTATAAACATATATTTTTTTTCCCCAGGGGTACAGGTCTGTGAATCGCCAGGTTTACACACTTCACCGCACTCACCATAGCACATACCCTCCCCAATGTCCATAATAACCCCACCCCCCCTCTCCTAACACCCCTCCCCCCAGCAACCCTCAGTTTGTTTTGTGAGATTAAGAGTCACCTATGGTTTATCTCCCTCCCAATCCCATCTTGCTTCATTTACACTTTCTGATTTCAAAAAATATTACAAAGCAATAGTAACCAAAACATAAGATATGGGCCTTAAAGGAGATATGTAGAATGAAACAGAAGTGAGAGCCCAGAAATAAATCTGTGCATTCAAGGTTAACTGATCTTTGACAAAGATGCAAGAATGAGCAATGAGGAATGGATATTCACTTGAATAAATAGACTGGGAAAACTGGATAATCACATTCAGATAAATGAAATTGGATCCTTATCTCACCATATACAGAAATGAATTAACTCAACTCAACTCAAAATGAATTAAAAACTTAAATGTAGGCCCTAAAACCATAAACCACAAGAAATGCAATTTTAAAACATTATGCATTTCCTGTGTATATCTCCCAAACTGGTTACAATTAAAAAGACAGGAAGTGACAAATTTTCATGAGGACATGTAGCAATGTAAAAGCTCATATAAAACTAGTAGGAATTTGATTCTTCACCTCCAATATCAACTCAACACAAATGTGTATACATATGCACTGAAGCACATGTATAAGAATATTCATGTAGCAGGGTGCCTGGGTGGCTCAGTCAGTTAAGCATCTATGTTTGGCTCAGGTGTTGATCCCAGAGTCCTAGGATCAAGCCCCATGCTGGGCTCCTTGCTCAGTGGAGTCTGCTTCTCCCTCTGCCCTTCCCTCTGCTGGTGCTCGCTCGCTCTCTCTGTCAAATAATAAATAAAATCTTAAAAAAAAAAAAAAAGACTACTCATCTAGCAATATTCTTCCTAGTTCCAACTATGTACCAGATAGTTCAAGGTATTAAAATGTGTACCTTAAAAATATTTTATAGATTAAAAATAGCAGTAAATTGTGGCATAATAAAGCAATAGTATAAAGCAAGGAAAATTAGTAAATTATAGTTAAATGGAAAAACATAAATGAATCTCGCAGAACATAATGTTAATTGAAAGAAGTAGATATGGAATAATAAATACACACAAACATATATAATTTGATTCAAATAAACTTGTTTTGGAATGCATTTCTGGTTGGGAAAAAAGTGCTGTCATAAAACAAGACAATTACTACCACAACTGTCAGAATAATGGTTACTTTAGAAGACAGCAAACCCATTGTGATTGGGGAGAAAGCAGCATGGGGAAAAAATGTGAGTTACTACCAAACTACTTTTCTTGACATGGATTATAGCTGTGTAGGGGTGTGGCTTTTGAATAATCAAGAGGCACATCTGTGTCTTATGAATTTTCTTTACATACATTATGTTTTGTTAAACCCTGTTTATAATAGCATGCAATGTGTGTTTTTAATAATATTTTTATAACAATCTCATATAATAGAGCTTTGTTAGTTTTATGGGGATAAAAGTATTTTGACAAATACTGTTAAATTGCAGTCATTCTTGGGCCACTGCAAAGAGATGAAATTTTAGTTATTACAAACGATTTAGTCATTGTATCACTTCACAATTAGGTCAGAATCTTTCATTTTAACTCAATTTGATAAAACTTATAGTTTATGTTTATGACTCCTTTGTACTGGCAAGAGAAAAAAGAATTAGTGGTATACATAATTATGAGAAGGAAATATTTAAGTTTCTGTAACATTGTGAAATTTCAGTTCATTGCCTCTTCCTGCCTCTATAATTTCCTGGAAGCTGAAATATTAAGAACAAAATACTGTATTTTTCAAGTAATATCACTGAATACAATTTTATTATTTTGAACTGAGTGTGTAGCTTTGGGGATGCATTGATGATGTAACTAATAAAAATGGGATTATCAGATCTGTTTGGGATATTTCTTCATGTTTGTTCTCCAGGCCAAGGATTGCCCTTATCTTCTTTTGGTCTAAAACAAGGAAAAGAGGTTTTCTCAATTGTGCAGAGATGTCAAAAGACACACTTTGGTTTTTATCATTATCAGGACCCTTGTGAAATAATTATATGTTTGAGGAGATCAAGCCATTTTTAGTAAATTCTTCCCATGCATGTCACTGTGAATGATAATTCTTTTTAAAAAACTATCATTTAATCTTAAAAAAATATTAAAAACCAAATGGGCCATATAGACATAAGAGTATTTCAAGTGGGATATTTTAGAAATAAGGATAATTAAAAGGAAATGGTTTCTCTTGCATATGAAGTGACAAGAGGACTTCCAAAATGTATAATTTTAAGATAAATATTTCAGAAGCTTGCCTATTTTTCAGCTTTATTGAAGTATAAATGGACAAATGAAATTATAAGATATTTAAAGTTGTACATTTTGATGATTTGGTGAACATATATATTATGGAAGGATTACATCTAGCTAACACATCCATCAACCATACATACATATGTATGTATTTTATTTATATAGATAAAAACATTTAAGTTCTACTCTTAGCAAATTTCAGTTATGTTATTATGCCATATCCTCAGACTTTATTCATCTTATAGGTGAAAGTTTACACCTTTATACCAACCTCTCCTCATTTTCTCCAGCCCCTGGCAACCACTTTTCTACTCTCTACTTCTGAGTTTAATTTTTATGTTTTGTTTTGTTTTTTTTCTATTTCACGTATGGGTAACACTATGAAATATTTGTCTTTCTCTGTGCGGCTTATTTCAATTGACATGATGCCCTCAAGATACATCCATGTTGTCACAAACAACAGGATTTCCTCCTTTCTCAAGGATTAATATAAAATATATCTCACTTCCCTTTACCCTGTCTGGCTTGTTTCAATTAACAGATAATTCCTTTATCCATTCATTTGTTGATGTATATCTGTTTCCATATCTTGGCTGTTGTGAATAATGCTACAATGAAAATGGAAGAGAAAATATCTCTTTGAGGCCCAGTTTCCCTTTCCTTTGGGTATATAGTCAAGAGTGGGATTGCTAGATCATATGGTAGACCTATTTTTAATTATTTTCAGGAAGCTCCATACTGTTTTCCACAGTTGGCAGTACAAGTTAACATTCCCACTAAAAGTGGACAATTTTTGCCTTTTCTCCACTTTTCCACTAACTCTTTTTATCTCTTATATTTTTGATGATAGCCATTCTAACAGGTGTTAAGGTAATATCTCACTGTGGTTTTGATTTGTATAAACTTGCTTATTTTAAATGACATGTGTAATTATCTGAAAACACAACTGATATTTAAAGCCTGCACTGCATAGCAACATTTTATTTGTTACTTTAAAATTTATTTTAGTTTACATTATTATTTTGCCTCTTTTAAATAAACTTTAATTTTTTAGAGCAGTTCAACATAATTGAGTGGAAGGTAGAGATTTCCCCATAGACCTCTTGCCCCCATACATACACTGCCTGTGTGTCTCTCCCACTATCAACATCCCCCAGCAGAGTGATACATTGTTACAATTGATGAACTCACATTGATACATCATTATCACCCAGAGTCCATAGTTTACATTATGGTTCATTCTTGGTGTTGCATATTCTATAGGTTTAACAAATGTATAATTACATGT